CCCTGCAGACCCCTGACATTTCCCTTTTGAAATAGAAAAAGAAATTGAGGACAGAGTCCTCAGTTTTCTTTTCTGCAGCCTCAGCACTCAATGAATGAGTACAGAGGCTCCTCCCCATTCATTCAGAAACTGCTGATAGTAAAATATTTACTATCAAGCAGTTTATGAATGGGGAGAAGCCTCTATAGTTAGTGCTACTCCCCCATTCAGAAATTCATGAATGAACAGGAAGTGATGTAAATCACAGCCTGTTCATTCATAACTGGGGATACATAGTACTATGGGGGTTATTCACAAAGCTGCCGAAGGATCTAGCCATAGCTTCGGCTGATCCTTCGGCTAGCTTCGGCCCCAGGACCCCTTCGGTTGAGTAGAACTGAAGGGCTGCTGTACGGGCTATTCACTTGAGCCCGTACAGCTCCCGAAGTTGGCCGAGCGGCTCAGTCGAGCCAAAGGCATATGCTTTGGCTCGAATGAGCCGAGGTGAAAGCCGAAGCTGGCCAAACGGCCGGCCAACAACCTGCTACTGACAGCTTGGCGGAGCCAGCCGTCATCTCACGGCTGGCTCCGGCCACTTGCATGCAGAGACAGATCAGCGTCCCTGGTTACCAGCGGAGCTGCTGTGATATCAGGGCGGCTCCGCCGGGTTCTCAGTGTGTAATGACAGTTCACTATCTCCTGGTTACCTAGTAACCAGGGGACGCTGGACTGTCATTACACACAGAGAACCCGGCGGTGTTGCCATGATATCACGGCGGCTCCGCCGGATCCTCAGTGTGTAATGACAGTTCAGCATCTCCTGGTTACCTAGTGACCAGGGGACGCTGAACTGTCATGAGCTGGCTTTGATATCACCGCCGGCTCCGACAAGCTCTCATTGTAATGACAGCTGGTCCCGTCCAATAGAAAACAGTTGGGCGGAGCTAGCTGTCACTGCTAGCTCCGCCCAATCATTTTCTCTTTCTATTCTGCTCGGTACCACAGAGGTACCAAGCAGAATAGCTGAGCCGAATGCCCCTATGAGAATAGGCCGAACAGCATCGAGTAGCCTGCCGGAGGTTCGGCTAAGCCAATCCAGATGTTGGATTAGCTGTGTCAAACTCCTTCTGCACTTCGGGACGGCCGAACATGCTGAGCATGTTCGGTCGACTTAAACCCAGCCGCAGCAAGCCGATGTAGAGCTGATTTCAGTCGGTGTACGGCTGAAATCAGCTGTACAAGCCTGAAGTGAATAGCCGAACAGCGTTCGGCTCACTTCACTTCGGGCTGGTTATTCACACGGCTGTCTTCAGCAGCTTTGTGAATAACCCCCTATGTGTCCCCAGTTATTTACAAACACTGGAGTGATCAGACGATCACTCCGGTGTTTGTGCTGTACAGAGGATTGGTAAATATCAGTGATATTTATCGATCCTCCGTTCGGCCACGCACAGAGCCGCTGTCATCCGGAAACTGACAGAATGACAGCGGCTCCGTTCTCCTCAATGCTCAGCCATCCTGAAACTTCTCCCCGCCAGCCGACGATTGCTCCTCCGCCCCCCACTTGAGATTTGGATTAACAGCGGGGATCCATCGAGTCACAGATCCCTGCCTTGAGCGGCTCCAGGCAGAGATAAGAGGCTCCAGATGCCGGCAATTTTTCCCATTGATTTGATTTTTAACTGCTGCGTTGCTAGCGTTTGTAAAAGACCCCCAAAACCATATATTTTCTGAAAGCGCAGGCCCAGTAGAATAAAAAGATGGTGCTACTAAATTTGTTGGCCCTGCGATAATTGCGCAAATGTTTCTCAAATTAATATTAAACCGATAAAAATACACAATTTAATTGATAAAGCCCTAAAATCAGTACCAGTGCACACAAAAAAAAAATATTTTCTGACTAAATCTGAAAGATAAAACTGTATTGAGTTAATAAATAACAAATATTTGAAATTGCGTGTTTTTGCAAAAAGGTAAAAAAAATTAAGGTACGCAAAACTGTAAATAAGCGACTTAAAGTTAAAAATTGTTTTTACACAGTGTTGGTGTTTTTTGTTGTGATAAAATGATACAGTGTAATGCTCTGGACTACAAATCTTAGAGACGTCAAGCTTATCTCAAGGACGAGCCCAGCTGTAAAGCTTGGCAAAACCTTTAATTTCTATTTGTTGTCTGTTCTTGCAGTAAACTTCAAGGAAACTGACCCAGTAGCATTTAAAAGTACTTTACTTGGTGAAAATGCTGCGTGTACAAACTTAGTTACAGGAAAAGCAAACAAATACATAAACAAGACTGACTGCTACAAACATTCACATGCACCGACTACACTATCTTCTAGTACATGTATGATTTCTAGGAGGGGAAACACTGAAAATGTGCTCAGGCTGCAGGCTCCACAAATTCCGTGATGAACAGGACTTCTCAGCCTAGGAAAAATGGCTTCTCTGCTAAATCCTTTGTATGTCCTGGTCTTGAAGCAAGTCCTCTCGTCTTGTGAAGCGCCCTCGTACTGTCCCCCTCCTGTGAAGCCCTGGTCTGGTGAAGTGCTGTGCTCCCTTTCAGCTACTGGCTTTTTATTGAGAGAAACTGGCCTCACACCTTGGAAGCGCCGCCCCTTTCACCTTTAGGAAAACAAAAAAAAAACAATGCAGTACACTGCATTTCACTTTCCCACCTCTAGATGGCAGCGTTGTACCATAAATTGCCATCAGTAGTACAGATTTGATTTGAGTCCTTGACCAGGCTAGGTGTGACTGTTTACGATCACCATCCCATTGTGATACGAATCAATACAGGACAAGCTACACCATTGTGAAAAAACAGTTTGGTTTGTTTAGGTGGCACCTTCCATTGTATGAACCCAGTTTTCTATCAACAAACAAAACCTCCGTCTCTGTTGCAAATCTATGTGTGTATGAAAAAGTCCACTAAGATATATCACAACACATACAGGCGTATATTTAATTACTACACAAGGTATCACAACGCATGGCAATGCGTCACAAAGCTTTGCCATGTGCTGCCACGGTTAATTTAATGTTTTTTAAAAATAAATAAATAAAATCATGCACTGCGATGCGTTCTAACAATGCACTGCAGCGCATGTGCATGGCGTACACTGGCCAGCCGGGAACACTTTTGTTCCGCTGTAAGCCTTACGGCGGTGGCAGCGAAAGGGTTAAAGAAAAAAGAGCAAAGATAATGCATAACTCAGTCTGAAATCTCGGCTGAGAGAGAGCTTTGCTACTACTTTTTTTAGTACACATGGCTCCATATATACTAAAACACTACCACATCTACACCCCTCACACTTGTGTTCTCACAACCCCCTTAAGGGTGTTTCAGCATTTTCTAATTGTTCATTACAGGGCCACGGGATAATACCCTTAAACCATGGGTTATTCTGCTGCCTTCAGGACATTAGGCACTGCCAAACAAAGTTAGTGCAGCCCTGTATACCCCCTTCCATTCCCAGCAAGACTCAGTGTTTAGCTAATGTCATTATGAGAACGGACACCTTCTCGCTGCTCTGAGGCTCTGAGAAAAGCCAACCACTTAGTTTTTTTTTCTTATGTTTTTTTTTCCTCAAGATATTTTCTGCTGTCAAGGTTCTTTAGCTGCCTAAATGCCACTGATGCTCAAGATTACAATGGACATAGCAGACTGCAGCAACTGTTAATCTACTAGATTGGAAAAAGGAGGAGAGGGGGCCAAGGGGGAGTGAAGTAGCTTGATTTGCTGTGTCTGTGGGGAAACGTACAACTCCAGTGGTTGACGGAAGCAGGGGTTCAACATAGACTTGAAAAACTTAATGCAAATAAAGCATTAGGACCTGATAACCTGCACCCCAAGGTACGTAAGGAACTGAGCCAGGTTATAGCGGGACCGTTATTCCTCATTTTTAAGGACTCCATAATGACTGGTGGAGTACCGAGTGACTGGCGGAGGGCTACAGTATGTATATATATATATATATTCTCAATATAAATGGGTAAGCCGTATTAGTCCAGTAGACAAGACGTTAAAAACAACAAAAACGCAGTATTGCAGTGTGCAATGATACCTTTCTTATTGGACTAACAAAATATATAGCTTAGTATTGCTTCTGACTGAAGAAGAGAGGTTCACTCTCGAAAGCTTGTCTTTTATATATATTTTGTTAGTCCAATAAGAAAGGTATCATTGCACACTGCAATACTGGGGTTTTTTTTGGGCGTCTTACACACACACCACACACCACACACCATCATAGGTAGACCTCAACTATGAGAGACAAAATGAGAAAACAAATCCAGAAAAATCACATTGGCTGATTTGGAACAAATTTATTTGCAAATTATGGTGGAAAATAAGTATTTGGT